TTGTAAAAGATCATATATGGGGATCAAGGAACTATGTTAACTAGAAACAGAAAAGAGTTTTGTAATACTTACATTTGCAGGATTCATTGAAGGACCTGTGTAGCTTGAACCAACAAGAATCACAACCATAGTTGCCATGGAAAGCATCCAATTCTTCAAGAACAAGCTGTTAGGACCCTTGATGATGATCAAGAGAACAACAAAGGTGATAACGAAAGTCAAAACTCCCTCAGCAATGGCTCCAGTATGCAAATCGACTTTTAGAGTAGGTCCTTCTAGCAGATGTTTGTACTCTAATGGCATCAACTCCAAAAGAGCCATGACACCACCAGCTGCACCAATCGCCTGTCAACAATTCAGAAACCAAACACTATTTTTACATGTTTAACACCAATAATCAACAAATACTGATCCAATTCTGCACTATTCATAGTTGAATGTAACGATCTGTTTTCGCAATTTCAACTATATCCTAACAATTTGGGTAATTGGAAAATGGAAACCCTTAATTCGTTAAAAAATTACGACTATGAAAAGTAATGTTTGGTTATATTACCTGAGCAGGAAAGCGGACGGCGGTGGACATGAGTGTATCATCGTCGCCACCGGCACCGGCGATACTAAACGCAATTGTACCGATCGCATTGAAGCTAGCGCCACCGAAGGCATCGGCAATCAATCCAAACACGACGGAGATAACAAATATAAGGGAAGTAGTGATTGCAAGGGAAGCCAGCCCTCCGGCACCCATCGAATTAGTAATAATGGAAGTGGCAGCGCCGAGGGTGGAAGCACAGAATATCCACATGAAGGTCACCACCGCATCACCAACTGCCGCCTTCACCACCCCCATATCTAGAAATGAACGGATTCAGCTTTCCGGCGTAAGAGAATCCGCAGGTGAAATCAGTTCACCTGAATATGGATTAGAGAACGCCACCTAAAATCAAAATTTCAGCGGATTGATTGTTGATGATGAAGATTTTGGGATCGAGAAATCAGTGATCTAGGGGATCTGGAAATTGTTTAGGCTCCTCTTTCAATGAGTTGGGAGATAAGTTTGACTATATGAGGTGAAGTGAAGTGTATATCTCATTCTTAATATCCACGTTCAAGATCCATGAGCTTTTTAGTAGCAATATATATAATTTCGATTAAAGTGGAACATATTTAGTGAAGCTATAACGTATTTTACTTTATTTTATTTTATTAATATATATAATATCATTTGATTTGTTATTTATATAATATAATAAATAATAAATAAAATGCATAGCCATATTGAAAGAAAAAATAAAATGTTGCCATCGACATAATTTGTCATTAAAGCTATATTTTTTGTCCGATTTTAACATGTCGACTGACTATTGAGTAATAATTTTATTAATTTTATAACATTATTTGTTAGAAATGTATAGTCCCTTTTGTCGTGTAAATTAATGAACTCGCTGATTTGCAAAATGGTAAATTGTATGAAAATTATTACAGTTTGGACTTTGGGTTTAATAATCAAAAGATTTTTTTTATGTTTTAACTATTGAGAGTTTAATTTTTTTTTTTAAGAAAACATCATATAAATCTTGATCTTTATTAAAAAGTATTATAATTTGAAATTTATTTTGTTTAACTCTCGATGAAATTTTAATATTCTATTGAACCATAAATGTTTGAATTTTATTTAAGAAACATCTTTACCCGAAAAATACCTGTCCATTTGTTTTTTACATCTTATGAATAAAAAAAATTTAATGGTTTTATTAAAAAAATATTCAGTAATTAAAGTAGAAAAAAAATCGTGGTTAAACAAAAACAAATTCAAATTACGTGTTTTTTGTGGAATACGGAAAAAAATGACTTCACTTGTAGGTTTGATAATATACGATTCTGATGTTATACTTATCAAACATTTTAATGACGAACACTTTATGTATGTCACAAAATGAGCAGCTGTCAACACTATAATTGATCTATAAGATTCGATAAATGCCACATTGCACATGCCAAAACTTGTATATCTGATTCAATAAAGAAGATTCTTTTTTTTCTTTTTAACTTTTAAGAATTGTCGTATATAAGTATATTCAGATCCAGTTAAAGCAAAGCACCACTACCCAATCTTTTTTCACAAGCATGGCCTCCACCCTCCATCTTTACTTCTTGCCTTCCTTCTTTTTCACTCTTGCCTTCTAAAAGAAGAAAGTCATAGAATCTTGCAAAACTAGAAATTGCGAAAAGTTGGTGTATATGAATCTAAATAGTCCCAACTTAAATTAAACAGTTAAATTCAAACAAATGAAATTACCATTTGTGTAAACCGGTTGTTAATACTTAATATTGTCATTGTGTTTGATAAATCTAAAGTTTAAAAAGTATGATGTTTTTTGTTTTGGAAATATGAGGCTAGAAACAATTTTTTGAAGTATTACGACTTTTTATTCTTGTTAGACAATCTAATATAATTTTAAAAACAACTCTAATAAATTAATATAAGATTAACCATATATATTATAAATGAAATAAAATAAAATAATTATTATTCATTTTTTAATAGTATTCGATTCTCATTTTAATAATAAAAAATAGTCCAAAATATTGATAATTTTGTTTTTTCCAAACAAATCTAAAAATCTGAATATTTGAACAGTATAATTCAATTCTAGAAACAAAAGTAACCAGGCACAAAATTTAACAAACATAAGCACATTAAAATCGAAAATGTATATATGTGAACAAAAGAATCACGAATCAAAAAATAAACTTGTTGATATATAGTGAATTGAAACACGAAAATATGTAAATTATGGTTTTCGAAGTGCAGTGTCGTAAGACAAAAATAGTTTTAATATGGGTCTGTGCTGATGATACAACAATCAATTCAAGAATTGATCTTGAATATATATATCATAAATCACCATGTTTCGGTAATGAGAAAAATGAATTTGTAAGAGAATATCAATGTATGTTTCTAGGCCTTCAAATTATGTCAATACTTTATTTATAATCTTCTGATGGTACTTATCAACCATCAACCGAAAATTAACTATTGTAAAAATACAAGCAATTAACACCTCGTTAACATAATTTAATAAATATAAATGAATTAAAGAATTAATTTTTAGATTTATAGTTAAAAATAAGACAGATTGCAATAAAGTTATTAAGTTAACCAAAAGTTTCAATTTTGACACCGTATATTTTTTCTCTCTATTAAGTCACTATATTTATAATTTTGTTGTAATATCAACCAAATGATCGGTTCTCTATATTTTTCTGGGAACCACATTTCCTAAATTTCAATAAATCACTAAGTTTACCAAAATTTCAATTTTGACCCTATGTTTTCCCCTCAATTATGTCATTACATTTATAATTTTGTTGCAATGTCAACCAGTTACCATCAATCTAACAGCTTACCAAATAAATGACATGACAATATTGTGATGTGCAGGACACATCATATCTTATGTGGCAGGACTGACTTTCAAATATAGGATTTGCATTGAACCAAATTTCACATATCTTCTTCTCCTCTTCCCCTCTTCTCGACAGAGTAATTCTTCACAAATGGTTTGAAGGCCGGTCTAATGGTTCAAACTCACTTACAACAAGTAAATGAAGACCCCTACAAGGTTGATTCAGTATATGCTTAGTGAGTTTTAAGCACTAGATCGACCGTGTAGAGGTCTTCATTTATTTGTTGTACAAATCAAGCTTCTAAATCATAATAGCATCTCTTGAAATGGTGATCATGCCTTTTTTGCTGACTTGTAACTGAGTGTGAACCATTAGACCGAAATTCAAACACTATTTATGAAAAAAATACTATGACAAAAAGATTAAAAGAGGAGAAAAAGATATGTGAAATTGGGTTCGGTGCAAACCCTATATTTGAAACTCAATTATGCCGCATAAGATATGACGTGGCCTCCAAATCACAATATTGTCATGTGGTAACGTGTTAGATTGATGGTAATCGGTCAATTGGTTGACATTGCAACAAAATTATAAATGTAATGACATAATTTAGAAAAACAAAACATAATGTCAAAAATCAAATTTTTGATAAACTTAGACTTTGTTTGTTTGTCTACAAAAGTACTTTTTAAGCACTTTTCCCTTCTGGCGGGTAGACGTTTCGCAAGTGCACGTCTTCTTCCGCAAATATGAAAAAAGACAAAAGACATTTAACCACTTCCAAAACAAACAACACCTTAGTGACTTTATTGCAATTTAAGAAAAGTGGTTACCGAGAGAACTGATAATTAATGATTTTATTACAATTTGCCCTTAAAAATATACTATTATTTAGTCAAAAAAGAACCCAAAACCTTATCTTTGACTATTAATATATAATTATATATTAAATTAGTCCAATATCACCGGCCCAACACCACAGCTCAAACTCAAAATGTTTAAACCATTATTGGTTCATTTGATAACACGAGTGGAATGTTTCCTCTTTTTCCCTTGGTAGAACAAGTAACACATATCGAATTGTATAACAAAGTTCCAAGAAATTCAAATAACTCAATTCGACAATTTTGATTTATCTGAATCTAGTGATCGACCCTAAACAAAATGAATAAAGAAGCTTAAAGCCTTAACACGGTGACATGGCCGCATGGGTGTTCCGTAAATCCTAAATTTTGGATTTTTACAATATTAAATCTTATTTTGGAAGATAAGTATCAAAGTCATTGGTGGGGTGACTAGCTGTCTAGTTTGGGTATTCTTATGTGGCAAAAGTTATAATAATCCATCACAACCTACATATACATACTCTTTCTTATACATGTATAAAATATAAATATAAAGAAAAATTAATATACAATATATGGAATATAATGAATGTGTCAAACTTTAACAACAAACATAACACATTATATATATACGCGTTACTATAAATAAGATTATTTAGAAGCATTATATGCGTTGAATAAAAGAAAGAAACACGTGTTGTAAGCAAGAAAATATAATAGCATGTTAACTAAAAAAAAATCGAAAGCATTATACACAACAAACACAAATGACCAATCTTCTCTCCCTCAAGGTTTTCATTTCACAATTGTTTGAATGATAGCATCTTTTATTAACTCCCATTTCACAATGAACACAAATGACCAATCTGTCCCTCAAGGTTTTCTTTTCACACTAAAGCTATAAAATATAAATGCCGGTTTATACACACAAACCTCCTTGTCCGTAATTCCGTATCAAAAACTATATATATCTATAATCCCCCACAAACCAATGGGAAAAGGGCAAAAAAGTAATTTCAGACAAAAATCTTATGGCCTTAATCTCCATCCCCTTTCAGCAAGTGCTTCATGTACTCGATTTGCAGCCTCTGCAGTGTCATTTAAAGGCGGGTAACTCCAGCTTTCCGACATCTACAAAAAAAACAATTATATAAATTTTTTTTTTTATAATTAAAAAAAAAAAGTGTAATTAAAATATCAAGAAGCTGAAAATAGCAAACCAACTTACATCCTCAAGACCTGTAAATGGCCTAACAAGACCTCTTTCTTTTAAAGTTTTATGAAATTCTCCAAATTTCCATTTACATCGCTCAGCTCCAATCACATATACAGGTTTTCTATTAAAAAAAAATAAAGGAAATTAAGTACGATGAATCGTTGACTTTTTGACTTTTTTGTTTGTAGTAATTACCCAGTGCTGCAGGCTTCACTCAACATGCTGATTGAATCTGCTGAGACGATGAATGCATCTGCCCATGCTAAATGTCCCATGTGTGGATTTGGTTCTAAATTTATAAAATTAAATAAAAAAAAAAGATTTAAGGAAAATGATAGTGAAAAAGATTGGAATTTAATCATGAGGATGTTTTTGAAAAGTTGGATTAATTACTTTCGTTATCCCATATATAGATTTTTGGAAATTCTGCGAGTTCTTTTCTCACATAAGTTGCAATCTGTTGATGTATTTGTAGAAGGAATGATTAATTAATATATAGAACAAGATGCAACAAACAAGTTAACATAAATATTTATTTTAAAAAAATAAAATAAAAAAAATAGGAATAAAAGAAATTATACCTTATCGGGAGTTCTTCTTGAAAAAGAAATTCTTACACTCCCACAGGTATCAAGAACACCCTTCAAATAGGTAGTTAACTGCTTTGCAAGGTCTGTACTATATCTACATCGGCCTTTTTTACAGAAACAATAACATAAATATAAGACAATATTTAATAATTTAATAAAAATAGGATTAATTAATAATAATTACTTGTGGGCCCCCCAATGTTGACCACGATTAAGGGTTTTGGTAAAGGTGCAAACTCATCATGCCAAGCAATAGCTGCACTACGAAGTGCAGCAGAATCAACTTGATGCAGTGATCCCAATGTAAGTACCTGACAGAAGGGCAAAATGGTCATTTACTCATATTCAAACAGTTCATTTGCACCAAAAAGAGAACAGACTATAGTGTATATTTATCTTATTCAGCACTGACTCTAGAGTCTAGACTCTAGACAGACATAATTTACAACAGCTGTCGAATACACAGTCATTAGTTCTTCAGCATTTCTTATAGATAAAAGGGTAAAATGGTCATTTAATCACATTCAGACCAAAAAAGAAACAGACTTGTGTAATGTATACAACACTTACTGCAAACAGAACATCATTTACCCATTCTGAACTTACTCTAAAAATATTAAATAAACAGTCATTTGTTAATTGTTGTTATTCAGCATTGCTTCTAAACAAAAGGGTAAAATGGTCATTTAATCACAGTTCATTCAGACCAAAAAAGAAAAGACTTTTATGTATACAGCACATACTACAGACAGACATCATTTACCCATTCAGAACTTACCCTAGACAGATCAAATAAACAGTCACTTGTTATTCAGCATTGCTTCTAAACAAAAGGGTAAAATGGTCATTTACTCACAAGTCATTCAAACCAAAAAAGAAAGACGTTGTGTATAGACAGACATCATTTACCCATTCAGAACTTACTCAAGAGTCGAGACAGATCAAATAAACAGTCACTTGTTATTCAACCTTATTTCTAAACAAAAGGGTAAAATGGTCATTTACTCAGATTAAGATAGTACATACCACGTTCTTAGTAGGGGGCTCATCAGGAGTCATATACTTGCGAAGAAACTTAGGAACCTGCTCTTGTGCATGAGGGGTAAGAGCGTAATAATCATGTTGAGGAGCAACCACCAAATCAAACCTACTCACTTGTCTTCTTGGATGTTGAATCTGAAACCAAATTACCAAATGTTTAAAATATTCAATTAAAAAGAATTTTTCATAAAAATGTTTATTTCACTTATTAATGTAAGGACAAAGGGTTTGAGTTGACTCACCTGAACAACAAACACATTTTCAGATGCTAATCTTTTTATAGAGCTAGCAATTGATATGGTGTCTCTACCACATGCAACCACCAATAAAGGCCCATCCCTAACAAAAAAAAAAGATTAATTATAAATGAAATGCAAATTTTAGTTACAAGTATTGAGTATTGACTTAACATCAGCTTCAAAAAAGGCTTACTTGTCAGCAGTTCCTCTTGCCATTGTTACTATTGACTTAACATCAGCTTCAAGTATAGATGATAAGCCTACATTTCCACCATTTTCTGTGGTCAAAGATTTGACTTTACTCCCTTTAGTTGTAAATAGAACTTGTGAATAGCTGTAAATCAGTCTGATGATGTAATATATCTGTTTATGGACAGAAACTGGGAGCCAGTGTAGATATTCATTGATTCCTCCACTTGGCCTAGTAACACGCTGCATGTGTTGCCACAAGAACAATAACACATTAAAAAAAATATTTTAAGTTTTTGACAGGATTGCCCTTTCTTCAAAAGAGCCACATTGCATTCTCTTTTCAGTCATATTAGGATAATACACATCACCTATAAATTATAATGAACAATCTTGCTACCATTTTCAGAATCAAAAGAGGGACATCAAGAAAGCATTTATCCACCTAAGTTTTTTCAACATTCCTTCATCATATGGATAAACAGAAAATCATGTTCTATAAGAGTGTTGTTCAAGTTATAGTTATTACAGGTAAATCTAAATCAATAAAATCACAATCATATTGCTCCATCAGTCCCAGAAGAAGAAGAAGAAGAAGAAGAAGAAGAAGAAGAAGAGAAGAAGAAGAAGAAGAAGAAGAAGAAGAAGAAGAAGAAGAAGAAGAAGAAGAAGAGAAGAAAGAAGAAGAAGAAGACAAATCGTTGGTATCCAAATCAAAATTTGATATCAGCTAAGGATCTACTCATCTACCGGTGTGAGATATCACATGAACCCTAACTGATTCCTCATTAAAGGCAGGCAACAAACGATACAACAAATCTAACACCACAGCCTTCCAATTGCAGCCCTTCAATAGAGATTGATGCTGTTAATCTGTTATCTATTTGTTTTTGATGTTAAAGGATTCATCCTAACTTGCCAATTAGCTCATTTGAGATGAGAACTCGAGGTGAATTAAGAAAGGGAGGGAGTTTCGTTCCATAACCTAAATTCTCTACTCAAATAACACTATACCTAATAATATCATTGTTGAAGTGCACTAAAACATCTGTTTAAGCTACATACTGAACAAATACGCTTACAGCTTCATTTCTTCAGAAAATTAAAACGAAAAATTAAACAGAATTGCAAAACTGCAAGACAAAAAACCAGAACTTACATATAGAGTTTGTTTTTCCGACAATCCAAGGGCTCTAACTAAACCAATGCTCTGATTCTCCGACGCCGGGAAACCGTTACCGATAATAACAGCCCGCTTGACAACACCGTAAACCCCTCCTTCAAAGATGTCCGGTACGCCTCTCGGTGGACTACCCGGCGGTTCCGGAAGCCTAATTGGCTTCATCTGCGTATCTTTTACGCTCCAAATTGATCGTTTGCTTTGCAAATCCCTGATATACAAGATACTGAATCTGAAGTATTGAAGAATGGTGGCGGAGGAGGTTTGCTATTTGTAAACGACACGGCACTTGCGACTCAGTGTATTTGTCTAATGAGTTGGCGAGTCATGACTCGGCTGTGAGATGACGAGTTCTGATTTGTTAAACTTTACAAAAACAGCAACATACTTTGTTTGATGTCATAGTTTAGCCACATAACTTCTCTTTTTGAAGAAAAAAACCCCAAAATGTGTTATATTGACCTTGACATATTTAAAGGCCAAATTCTATAAAAATTATTGTCTTAAAAAAATTCTAATTCAATTACTGGAAGTTTGTTTATTTTTTCAAAAAAAAAAAAAGTCTGCTGAATATCTTTCTAGTTAAAGTTTTTTTATTTAAAAAAAAAAGTAAAAGTTTTAATGGTTAGTCATTAAAAATAATTTCTTCAAATGGTTAAACTAACAAATTCCAAATTATAGTGGTTTTATAAAATTTAAAATTTTATGAGCAGTGGTTCTATATGGTTAAATTAGAAAAAAAAAAAAAATCAATAGATACACCGGATAAAACTATAATACAATATTTTTTATGAAATTTAACCTATAGCCGATACGTTAACAAAATTTTAGGATTAATGATTTTAATACATAAAATTTCTACATTTAGTATAAAGTTATTAAAATATTGCAATGATTATTAAAGAACAAATTTTATTGTCAAGATATATTAAAATCAACCTACAAAGTTTCTAGATATGTTTTTGAAAAGCAAATTTAAAATAAATCTAATTTTTGGTGTTCTCCTTACATGGTTTTAGTTTGGGTAAGGTAGATGTTGATTGATGATCAATAACTTCACAAAAATTGAATTGAAATTTTTATAATTTAAATTATCCAAAATCCTACTTTTTGACTCATCGTTAATATATAGATTTCTACCGAGCAATGTTCTTATGATAATTGATAAGAGTTATTATTTACAAACCGTAATATTCATAAAGATTTTGCTTCTATCTCTTGGTTTTGAAATAGCATTGTTAGGCCCTCTTTGATATGCATCTGACCGAGTCAGGTCAGATATTTTTTGCTGACTCGGTATGTTTAATAAACTAAATTTGGGCGTCTGACTCGCAAAGCTTAATCTGATCGGGTAAGATGGAAGAAATTGGCTGACTGAGAAAGGGAGAATGCTTTCCAATTGTACCCTTGCCCTACCGAAGGAAGAAATTAGCGACTCCATTGTTTCTTCTCCTCCTTCAGCGCCGACTTTCTTCTCCCGCAACCAGCAATTGTCGGCGATCTTCTCATCGGTTCCGATTTTTTGAAGTCTCTTTCCTCTTCTCATCAGGTACGCTTCTTCCTTTTTCCTCTCCTCATCAGTTCTGATTTTTTGATAATATATGGGTTTCGATTTATGATTTTTCTGTTGAACATGTATGGTTCTTCATTGAATTCTGAAATTTTCTTAATGAATTTAGGCCTTGTGCTCAATTTCATTGTATTTCTTTTGTTTTAGACTTTACCAAAGGAATCCAAAACTTGAATTCCTTCACCAATGAGATTAGCTGAATTCCAACGAAATTCAACTCCGTGTGAATTTGCAACCAAACGCCAGACTGGAATGGAATTGAATTCCAATTCCGCCCAAACAAACTACAATATCAAATTTAAGACGCAAAAAACTACAAGTATATTTATATAATTTACACAGGAAATAACAAGTGCTTTTAGTGTCAAATACACAACCTGAAACGAAGCGAAGCTTTACCCGCCCCACACCCCTCCCCCCCCCCCCCCCCCACCCCAACTCACATAACAAACAATAAACCAATGAAGAGTAATCTATCACATACCTCAAGACAAACAAGTTAAGATCTGCATGAAGGCAAAGTAAGGCCTCCACAACAGGCTGCAACTATTATATACAATAATAGAAATATCAACCCTGTCAATAAAGCCCTGAAATTTATCCATATATAAGTCCCACTGATTTATAAATTATAAACATTGATTAATAATGATATGATATTTATAGTTATATACTTACAGTAGTTTGAAATTTTTCATCCAAAGAGCTCTACGAAGTCTTTTTGATTGTTTCTTGAAATGAAAGGCACTATCTTGCATTGTTGCAGTTTTATCAACAAGAAGCTCGATTCTATCACCTCTCTCTAATATCTTCTCAATGTTATCCACCATAATCGTGCGTACCTGAATAAAGGAATGTAATTGATTTAATTATTAGTATTAAGTTTTGTGAATTACTTGAGGTGAAAGAAGTTTTGTATTGTATCTTGGAATTTAGAGAGAATACTTGCCTCACCAACTTCACTTCTAACACGGGTGAGTGTATCTGCACTTGGATTACTTGAGAAAAACTCCATTTGTTGATGTAAAACCCTTGAAAATTCATCGTTCATGGCATATGCAGGAGCATATGGTGCTACTTTCCCATAGTTTTTCAAGAACCTCATTTGAATGTCTTCTAAGTATGAAAATGGTATTCTTCCTGCAAAAATATCATGTATTAGTACATATTGTCAGATTTCATACCAAGTGATTTTGAATAAGATCACAGATTATTGATTTGAAACTCATGAATCCATTCAAACACAGAAACATGATGTTTGTTCTATAGGATAGGTTTCATAAGAATTTGAATACACTGAACTGTGAATTGAAGTATAAATCTAATTCATGAAATAGCTTCTCAATCGTATCACACGAAATCATAACTAGAAATTCTTCAGTGAGCACAAACAAACCCGTATACTTTCAGGAATTATGGTGAATTTGATGCAAAATTGTTGATAGGGGCGGATTTCCCTAAATTAAGTATACGCGTTTCTTCACGAAATTTCTGTTAATTGAACAGTAGATAAATCATTCAATCAACTTCGTCTGCTTCCAACACCCTAAAATCTACTCATCTTAATACAACGCCAATCTATAACTTGTAAAACAGATCGGTGTGAGTAAAATTGATTGTCGGAGTGTGTGTAAGTAAGAGAAAGGAGAGATACGAACTTCCAAAGGTATCGTTAGCCATACAGAGGAAGATGAACGAGTCAGATCTGAGTATATGGAAGATGTAACGATCCTGAGAAAAACATAGTCTAGATTCAACCTCCGCCGGCAACTTCTCAAGAATCCGGCGAGCAACTGCTCCGGTGTTACCAGATACGGCGCTGAACTCTGCCAGCACCGTCGTACCCCTCGCTACCAGCGCATACAGAATTGCCATTGATTTCTCCGATAATTTTCTCTCCGCTTACACACTCAAAATTTGGCGATTACCTCTGTCATCGAAGAACCCTCTGTTGGTTGACTCAGTTCGAGAAAATAAATTATGTTTTATTCTTTTTATCACCATAAACTTTCAAATCTTTTCAAAACGGTCACAAAAGTTTAAGATTTTCTACTTAAGACCACATTCCAGTTTTTGGTAATTTTTTAACCACATGTAACGATTATGATATTAATGTTAGGGAAATCTCCACAAAAGTCTCATTATTTTATCCTAATTTACGAATAAGTCTTAAACTAAAAATTGTTTACGAAAAAACATGAATTATTGTAAAAGTGAAGATTTGACCTATTTTTTCCGGTTTATCGGTTTCATTACTGACATGGTTCCAATAAAGTCTCATTATTTTACTATAATTTAGGAATAAGTCTCAAACTAAAATTACGTAATGATTTGACCATTTTCTCCCTGTAACATACATTGTACCGGTTTCATTGTTAACTTGGACGTCTAGTCATTAAATGAGTTAATGAGATGGATATGATGGGCTATATAATGATATGTTTACCGTAAAATTTGATATTCATCTCATCAGCTCATTTATGACTATGTGTTCAGGTCAACAATGAATCTGGTAAAATGTGTGTTTCCGGAAAGAAAGAAAAAAAAAAGTAGAAAATGAGTTGATAAGATGGATATTATGGGTTATATAAGATTAGATAGACAATTTGAAATTTCTTATAAACTTCAAAAATAACGAAGTTGGTACTAGTTTATGTAATTATTGCAGTCTTCGTTAGATGCATTTTATATTCCATAGAATATACAATGTAGCACGATATCAAGTTTTATGGTAAACATAGCATTATATAACTTAACATATTCATCTCATCAACTCATTTAATGACTAGATGTCCAGATCAACAATGAAATCGGTAAAATGTATGTTACAGGGCGAAAATGGTCAAATCATCACTTAATTTTAGTTTTAGACTTATTCGTAAATTAGGGTAAACTAATGGAACTTTAATGGAACCAGGTCGGCAATGAAATATGTAAATCGGGGAAAAAAAGTCTAATCGTCATTTTTACCGATAATTCATGTTTTTTCATAAATAAATTTTAGTTTAGAACTTATTCATAAATTTGTTTAAAATATTATGACTTTTTTTGGAGATTTCCCTTAATATTAAAATTATTAAATTTTGAGAAATATGTAATAACTTGTAGAAAGAACATATGGTCAACGGTAAGTCATTCTAATTATGTGGACAAAACATGTCAATGGTAAGTCATGTTAATTATATGGACAAAACATGTCATCATCATGAAAGGCAACAAAAACACTGTCATGTAAACATATCCGTTGCAAGATAAACATGCCAAAATATCTTATCAACCACTTCTTCATGTATAGAACTTTTATATAACACATATGTTATTATTTTTTTACTTTTGATTAATGAATTAAAAGGTTTTCAATTTGTTTGTAATTTTTATATACCATTAATTGCTCTCTAACAAAGTTTTTGACATGTTGTGTTTTTAGTGTTGATATGTCTCTTAGGAATTAAACGATCCAATAACGATTAAAGAATTATTGCACAACATAAAATAACATCTTAAAATTTTAATAAATCCCAAAATTTGGATTTTAAGATTTATAAACCCACACCTTCCTCATGGCTTCATCTATGAAGGTAACATAGTACATGGATCCTCTTGTTGAAGAGACATAACTTGGTCCAGTGTTCTAGAAGGTGTGTCAAGGCGTGCCATGGCGTAAGGCGCGACTTCGCCGTTACGAAAAGTCTCACAACGTTGCCGTTAGGTGTGGTGGGCGGCAAGACATGATATGGCGTGACATGGCGCGTTATGGAGTTTTATCGCGCATATTTTTTCGTTTGAGACACGTTTTTTTGCTCTTTTTTATGCATTTTCTAATCGAACATACAAGTATTGTGTTTTTTGTAACTTTTTGTTATTAGTTGTTGATATAACACTTCTAAAAACTAGTTATATTTAGGGATGTCAAAAAGTCTCGTGGGACCCCGTTCCCGTTGGGGTCCCGTCCCGTTTGGGGGAATTTTTTTTAAAAACTCGGGGGCGGGGACGGGGGCGGGGGCAAGGTTAACCCCCGTTTTAATTTCGGGGGCGGGGCGGGGGTAGGCAATCCCGTCCCGAAACCCCCATGGGGACCCCGTTAATAAATTACACATATATTTAAATATATCAATTATATAAATATAATAAACAATAATATGATTTTGAGCTTCTAAAGTTCATCAAAAAAACATGTTATTAAGTTGCTAGTATAATGTTTTTAAGATGCCGTAACTTTTTTATATTTAACATGTAAAATTTTGCTATAAATAATTATTTGTTACCTAAAAAATAGCTTTTTTAGCCTAAATGACAACTTCTTTTTGCCAAAAAAAAGCAGCCCAAAATCAATCGGGGGCGGGGGAACGAGGGCGGGGGCGGGGATAATAAACGGGATTCGGGGGCGGGGGCGGGGGCAGGAAGGCTGAACATTTTGGGGGCGGGGGCGGGGACGGGGGAACGGGGAAATTTCGGGGGCGGGGGCGGGGGATGCAATCCCCGTCCCGTTTTCCCCCGTTGACATCCCTAGTTATATTTGATATAAATCTATATTTATGTGGTAATATAATTATAAATTAATACAAAATCGTCGCCTTACATCACGCCTTGAAAAAACGTCATGGCTTGTTAAGCTTGAGAATTGACATTGTCATCACGCCACGCCTCACACATTTTAGAACCTTGATTTGATCTATAAACATATGAATGAACAAGTTCTAACTTCTCAACCTTTAGAATTTGCCCAATCTTAACGAATGTAACCTTCTTCTGCTTACGAAGTACACATGGCTCATAAAATTCCATAATTACGCTTTTGGATATCGATAACCTTCCTTTAAAAGCCAACACCCTCAATTCCATAGAGTGATGGCTTTAGTATCTTCAATTATTGATTTTAATCGATTTGTCGGAGCTTCGACCACATAGAATGTTCCTTGTTTCTGACCCCGAGCAACTACTAGGTTCCCTTTTCTTTTCTTTTCGCTGGTGATTTT